TTTTAACCAATTTCCCAACATGTCACACTGACTTTGTGCTCTTTGCCATTACTTTTCTCTTGATTTACCATCATCACCGCTGTATGAATAAATTCTTTGTTGACTCAGGATTCCAAAAAATAATGAACTAGTTTGGTCAATCTGTAACTATACTGCCCATCTACATTATATATTCATATATTGACTATAAAGGTTAAGTTTGATTGTCTAGGAAAAGCAATATAAACCTCCAGTTCGTCAGAGGGAAAAATATAGTGAGAGCAATAAAAATGTTGTTTTGTCTCTTGCCAAGGACAATGACATCAACTGGACAGAATATGGGCCTGTACTTGTAATTCACATTTTTGAGTAGTTTTACTATTCGTTTTCTGTGCCAGGATACTTTTTTGGCCTTCATACTTCATATCAACATGTTGCAAAGTAAACCTCTGTCTAAAAAGTCTTTGAGGTCCTGTTGTGAGTGTAAGTCATCCATAGACCAAAGAGAAATTACCACAAGTCAAGCTTCATCAGTCAACACAAATTCATCTGATTCACTTTCATACATACATTCTTCATAACCTTACAGTGTCTGGTAATGGAAAACAATTGACTGAAGCTTGGCAGTAGGCCTCTTCTGTGCTTGTTGTCACTAAAATATGTTGGTAGCAGCTTCAGGAAGATTAGACAGGAGAAAATTGCAGGTGTATACAAAGTGGACAAGTGAGGGAGCTGACAGAGGTGCAGAGCTTAGGTGGTGGGGCATGTCTGGTCCTCACCTCATTTGAACCTGACAGGATAACTACTGCTACTGCATAAATCACAACTTACAGAATACAGAATCACTTGTTTAGCTCACATCTCAATAATAGTGGAAGCAGCGAAGTAGGCTACTGTTCTTAAAGAGTACACTGAGTAACCTTTCTGGAGAAACGTCTGCCTATGACCATGCCATGACGATGTAATTGCTTTGCTTGGAAATGTTTCACAGTATGGTATTAAACATGACTATCTACAAGGAAACAAGCAGGAGATGCCACTGGACCAAGATACAGGTCAGGTCTGTGCAGAGGATGGCCCACTCACTGTAGGTATTCTTTGAAAAATTTAATAAACACCCACAATTGAATGAATGGTAGATAAATAAGTTTAATGCCACACTGGGCAACATTTTAGACAGAGTAATACAATCTCCATGGAGACAAGCAGGTGGTGGATCCTCTACCTAAAAATGTACATAATGCACCTTTAAGTATAAATCTGAGGCATCAGTACTTGACTTTAGTAAATTTTTAAGTGGATACTTTTTACTCATGCTTCACTACATTTGAGAGCATGTATCTGTACTTTCTACTCATTTTTGTATTGGACTGAAAAATAAAAATATTTTTTATTATTGTCTGAGACTTGGTGAAAAGGCTGGGGGTTTTAATACATTCATAGTCTGACCAAAAAAATATACAATTAAAAACAGAAAAAAGATTGATTGTTTCTGTTGAACATATTTCACTACATCAAAATCTCTAGATTTTAAGCCTTATTAGGCCTCAAAATCTGTGTGAAATACTTTTGCTTTTTACTTTTTAAGGTCATTTTTAAATGGTACTTTAGTATCCTTACTGAAGTAGATTTTTTCATGTGATACTTTTATTTTTAGGTAATTCTTTTTTTTTTTTTTTTTGCTCCTGTAGCTGTATGTTTAACAAAACTGCATATTTATTCTATCACTGCTCTGAGTAGAAGGTAGAAACTAAACAACTGAACAGTAAATTATGTTGCTGATAAACAAACCATATACTGTTTCTTCCTGTAATGGGCTTTACAAAGTGATCTGAGATGGAGCAGGAGATCCCTGAAGGCAAAGCAGTCTTTCATTCTTATCATGGTTTAATATGTCTCCAAAAGCATCAGTGAGGATCTTTTAACAGGTTCCAAGGACTGTATCTTACTAAAAAAAAAAAAAAAAACATAAACAAGAGAAAATATCAAACCCATTAATGTTTCATTAACATTGCTGGATAAAAAAGAATCACTTAAAGTATCATTTGTTACCATCAGTGTGAGAGCTAAAGCCCCCCCGCTAACATCAAAGGCAACTCAAAGAAGCAGAGGGGGAGAGAGATAGTGAGTTAGCCCAAATTTGGCTCCGAACCAGCTTGTGGTTGGGTTTTAATTTCGACTGATTCATAATGTCACTGAGTAGGAAACGACTGGTAACTGACTTTATAATGGATTTCTGTGGCATCCAGGCTTACAAACAAAGAACTGTAGAAGACAGGGTATTGACCAAGACAAGAGTGTCCTCAGATTGCCTCTGCCCTTGTGTCACTGAAAGATCACAATGCTTTCAGGTCAAGAGAAGAACTCATTGCAGAAATAAAACACACACACACAAACACAAGAACTACTTTAATGCGTGGTGCTTGTCCCTACATATTCATACACATGTGTATAATCATAATAGCCTATATGAACCTTGTCAAAACAGCAGTTTACCTTGTGCACTATGCTGATTGATTAGTGAGAATATATTCCCTTTGCATGAACAAATGACATGAAGTCCACCTCAAAGATGTGGATCTGCCTCATGCTATCTTTCCTGTTTGGAGCAGTGAGATTTTTGTGCCAGCAGAGATGAAAGCCTGAGGTTCTATAGTTAATGAGATAGCAGACAGTGGGAATGGTGGTTTTAATTACTGCCCAGGACTGGTCCAAAGGGGCCAGTAGCTGAAGAGCCTGCTGAGTGTCCTAGGTTGGGAGTTCAGGCCAATGCCAGTCATGCTGTGCATGGCTGCCTTTGATGCTCACTCCCCTCTGCTTTATTCCCACATTGAACTTATTAGATTCTGAGCCGCTTTACTGCAGTAACTCCTGTCAAATTCTACACAAATAATGTAATGGAGGAGAAATTAAAAAAATAAATAAATAAAATGAATGCACTTTTTGAATATGGTATTTAACCATTACTATTGTTGCAAGGCAGACATGCATACATTATACATATAAACAATAAAAACTGATTGGCAGAAGATTAACTGTGAATGGATGTGCAGGAGGCTGTGTTGTGTGCTACGCCTGAAGAAGGCACTTCCCTCAGATGAAAATCATTTGTAATAAGCTTTTCTGTCCCCTAAAGTTACAATATTTACATGATCTCAAAAAGCTTCTTAAATTTACTTGTTGTCATTTCTGTTGTCTTGTTGAGTCTTGCTTACTTCCATCTCTTTTCTTTCTCCAAGTCTTTATTCCCTCCTAATCTTGAACAAGTCAAGGCCTCAAGCCAAAGACGGGTTTTGTTATTGAATGAGCAGGAAGCTGCCAAATTCTAATACAACAAACTTGAATAGAAAGTGTCCTTGACTGTCAGATTCCCAGGAAACACTGATAATGGCTTTTGAATCATCACTGACTTGTTGGTGCATTGTTCACCAAAACATACATGCAGATTTCAAATTCAATGTCCTTATGAGATGAAAGAAAATCCAGATGGGAAAAAACAGATCCATGGGATAAAAAGGTTGATTACATTTCATTTTGCATTGTGTTTGTTAGGCCTGGATGGGTTTGCAAAACATTCAACTGGTTTTGTATTTGAGATTCCTGCTGGTTTACAGTGCCATGGGCTGCATTGCAATAATCAAAGTTGTACATAAAAGATGTTGTGTTTTACAAAAGTAGAGCCAATTAAAATATAGTATTTCAATCACTGATGCTGTCAGTTTGTTGTAGGTTTATTTGATGGACTTTAGGCCTTGGTATCTCACAGTGTGTGATTAACACAAGTGTGGAAGTCACTGCTGGAGGTTGCAGGCCAAGGATCAACTTCCCTCACTGGGTGAACCCTCCACATACTTGCATAGCTCAGTGGGACAGCTTTTCACATTTGACACATTTGACAATTTTTTCCTTTATTTCCCCACTCTGAATCAAGGGGGAAAAAATTGAAAACTATGTTAAAATATCTGCAAGATATTTTAATAATTTATTATTTTAGCTTTGTCTTGGAAAATATGAACTATCCCAAAGCATAAAATTTAAGATGGGTTAGGTCATGTCAGTATTATTACATATAGACCTTGAGCAAGTTTTTCTTGGCGTAATCTATGTCAACATTTCCTTGACGTGAGCAACTTTTGAGTTGAATAATGTAATTTTAATGTAATGTCTGGCGGCCCCCTAGTGGCCAGAGCAGGTTATCACACTCGAGTAGGCCTAGGCTACTTAACCTATTTAATATAGGCTATTTTGAACCTAAGAAACGCATGAAAATCAGTATTGAACACATGGAGAAAAGCTTAAATAAATACAATGGAGAAAATGCAGCAACAGAAAAGTGGGCTACAAGAGTAACAACAGAATACAACAGTGTCATAACATTAAACATACTAGAAATGAATGAAAAGGAACAGAAACAAGAGTAATCTTATGTTATCTGCCCCCCTTTCCAGAAAATACATAAACAGTGATAGTTATTTTTAAAAATTTCATCAATACATTTAATTTCAATCACAAATATTTATCAACTGCAAACAGAGATCATCACTTTTAGGCGCAACAACTTAGTTTTCTTTATCATACATACATATTGCACTGGATTTTATATATATATTTACATTTTTTATGCCATCATTGTACTTAATCCTTTGATGTCTTTGTTAAGACTAAATTCCATAAATTAACTTTCACCGCAAAGCTTCGCTCTATAAACTTGGTTCTAAATCTGGGTTTTTTAAACACGTAGGTTCCTTTTAAATTGTAGTGGTTTGTACTCATCTAAAACAATCTTTGAATATGTACAAGTATATTGCACTTTGCTTTGTACATTACTTTGGGGATACTTAAGTCAACAATATCATACATTTTCAACTCTGGCCCCCTCTAGTGGCCCAAATTTTAACGACATGTACATTTACACACCTGTAATTGTTTGATCAATGCGATCAAAAACCTAGTCCCGAAACGGGTGATTTGTGTTTTGTTTTTGTTTTTTGGTCATTATAATTCGTGTTTTTCGGCCAATATTTGTATAGTTTATTTATATACAAAGCAGTTTTAATCAGACATTTAGTCAACTTGAAATTATTGCGTTTATCAAAGTTTTCGGCGTAAGAATTATCTCAGTGAAGAGGTCTATGTCCCGTGACGTTTCGCGGCGCCACCTGCAAGAAAATTAATCGAGCATTTCTTTTCCTCCGGTGGTGTGAACTGTAAGTCTCTATTTGAGCAAATATTCAGTTTTGATATGTTGTAATGTTTTAAATCATTATTTTAGAGAGCACTTTAGAGAATTTTTATACGCATGTTATTTAAATGTATTACTTTTTCCAGATGTCAATTGAGACTTGCGAAAACTATCAAATGAATGTCTAATATTAAACAAATTTTAAACATTACACTAAATTGATTTAGTGTAGTGCCCCATGAGCACAAATGCAGTGCTGAGCCTAGCTCATGCCACGTGTGGATTAGCTTAGCTAGTCACCATGTGCTAGCAGTGCAGAAATAGAAAGAGCTGTATTCTAATGGAAGCATGTTCATGCATGTTAATGCATTATTTGTAAAGCAAACCTTACATGTTTTTTAATTAGTTGGTTGTGTTTTTATATAGTGTTGGGCAATAGTGTCTCAATAACCTCAATAACCATGAGTGGCAGGGCAAGAGCAAGATCACGAGGAAGGGCCCGCGGTCAGGAGGCAGTTGGCGCTGTAAGTGTCAGAATGGTTAAATTCCAGTCAATGCACTGTTATTTTTTTATTCAGTTTAGCTGTTAAAATGTAATTGCACTATAATCACTCACTATAATTCACTGACATTTTGAAGGACCAGCCCAGAGAGTCTGCCCCTGTCCCACCTGCTGAAGTGAAGGTTGGCAGAGGAAGGCAAAAAACTACTCCAGGCCCATTTACTGAAGAAGGTAACACAAGTTGCACAGTTGCAAATGGATATGAACTTAAATAATTTGGGAATGGGGTAAGATTTTCTGAAAGTCATCCATGGAGAATAAACCTGTCACTTTTGCTTACTGCAGCCAGGGGGATTTTTACAAAAGGGAGCTGTCCACCTCCATCAGATTGTTACTGGCTGTGTAGTTTTAACTTGATACCCATGTTTCATGCATGCTCAAAATAAACTCACTCACTTGATCTATCAAGTTAATGTATGATTTGATTATGATATTTGCATCCGATAAACAGGTGCAGCTGTTACTGAAAATCTAAAATTAAATATGAAGCTATAAGCATTAAACTTGTACTTAATGATCCTTAAAATGACTTCTATTACCATATATGTTGGTGTTAATTTAAAGTCTTGTTCTTGTGGACCCTATCTCATTTTGTGTTGCAGGATTTGGATTTGTGTAAAGTTGCTCTGTATTTTTAGCTCTCATGCAGATTTCAGCTGGATTTCAACAAGTTAAGCTTGGTGAGCGTGGAGGCCACCGTCGAGATTTCAATGATGCTGGGATCAACACCAGGCAGGCCATGGAGCATGTCAAAGATTCAAAATCTGGTCTGCAGTTTTTATTTAATTAATGTTATGCTTTTTTAGGAAAACAATTAAATGCACACTTTTCCCCTTAATTTCCAATAGGAATATCTGGGCGGGCCATTAAGCTCTCTGCAAACTACTTTCGTATCCTGTCCCGGCCTCAGTGGGTCTTGTATCAGTACCATGTGGACTTCAAACCCCCGATGGAGTCTTGGCGTTTCAGATCTGCACTTCTGTTCCAGCATGAGGAAATCTTAGGTTCAGCTAGAAGTTTCGATGGAGCACTGCTTTTTCTGCCTCACAGGTTGCACAAAAAGGTATAATATTGTAAAACGCAATATGCATGTAGTTAGTCATATATATTATATTTGCACAGGGCTTTCTACACATTGATGCCTTTATCATATTTCCATGTACATTATGAATAAACCTAAACTATTTTCCCTATAATGTGTTTAGGAGACAGTGCTCTATAGTGAGACCAGGAGTGGAGAAAAGATTCAAATAACTGTTACACTGACCAGTGAGTTGCCACCAACCTCACCTGTGTGTTTCCAGTTTTACAACATAATATTCAGAAGGTAAAAATGTGAATAATTTGCCTACTTCATACCCCTGCACCCACTAAATGTTGATAAGTTTTATTATATTGTATTTTTACACAGGATTTTGAGAGTACTAAAGATGCAACAGATTGGAAGAAACTACTACAACCCAAATGACCCTCTTGACATTCCAAAGCACAAGTACATATTTTTCATTCAAAATAGTTTTAACTTTCTGGGCATATGATGTTTTGTTTATGGTATGTTCTACTGCCTTGTTTTAGATTGACCATATGGCCTGGTTACACTACAGCTATATTGGCATATGAGTCTGCCATCATGCTGTGCATTGACGTGAGCCACAGGGTTCTTCGTAGTGAAACTGTCCTTGACTTCATGATTAATCTCAAGCAGCAATGTCCAGCTCATCGCTTCCCAGACATCTGTGCTAAAGAGCTTGTTGGTTTAATCGTCCTCACAAAGTATGGCGGAAATTTTTCCATATGCAGGATGCTTTGTGCTCAGGTTTAACATCTGTCTTTGGGGTGTTTGTTTAGGTACAACAATAAAACCTACAGAGTTGATGACATAGCGTGGGATCAGACACCCAATAACACTTTCAAGAAGGGAGACACTGAAATCTCTTTCAGGAACTACTTCAGTAATGTAAGTGTCACACATCTGGGGATTACAATTACAACAAATCCAGATCAGACACAAATGCTGCATCATGATATTTTCACTGCTCTCTTACAGCAATATGGCATAAGCATCGTTGATGGCAATCAGGTGATGCTGGTCAGTCACGTAAAGAGGTTGGGTCCCGCCGGAGGCCCTCCTCCTGGACCAGCCTTGTTGGTCCCAGAGTTGTGCTACCTCACAGGTTACCATTTAATAATTTGGGGCTGTGTAAAATACCAAACTATTACAATTCTCAATGCATTCATTTGCAGGACTGACTGACAAGATGAGAGCAGATTTCAGCATCATGAAAGACTTGAGTGCACACACCAAACTGAGCCCAGAAGACAGAGAAAAATGCCTAGACAGATTTATTATGAACATACAGAAGTAAGCAATAAAAGTTTTTACCATTTTGCATTAAAATCAAAATAAAGTTTTGGTGTGCATAGTGATTTAATTTAATGGCTTCCCCATTTTATTTTAGAAATGCTGAAGCACAGTCAGAGATGGACAAGTGGGGCCTTTCTTTTGACAAAGAACTTGTCCAACTGACTGGTAGAGTGCTTCCAGTAGAGAGGATTTTCCAGGGACAGAAATCAGTAAATATAGTGCAAATTGTATTTTTATTGTGCATTTAAAATTGTAAATATGAAGAGTACTCACATTATGTAATTACACATGGTGTCCCCACAGTACGAATATGATCCTTGGTCAGCTGACTGGGCCAAAGAGATGCGTGGAATACCTCTGATAAGATCCCCTCCTCTTTCCAACTGGTTGTTGTTGTTCACAAGGCGCAACAGCAATGAGGCCCAGGCACTTGTGCAAAGTCTTGGGAGAGTCTCTGGTCCACTTGGCATCTCCGTTCAGCGTGCTGTGATGTGAGTGACTTGGCTGAATTTTGCATTTATTGATGTGATTAAGTTCGTTTTCAGCATTGCTCTTACCTGCCAGGATCGAATATGAGGATCATCAAGAATCCCTGCTCCGAGCTCTACAGCAGAATGTGACCCCACATGTGCAAATTGTAATTGCTGAAATATCACCAACCATTGAACAATTACTTTGGTGTGAGTGTTTTTGGCTATATAGTTATGTGTTCATTCTTTAGGTGGTTGTGGTCCTCCCCAGTAATAGGCAGGACAGGTATGATTCAGTCAAGAAGTACCTGTGTGTGGACTGCCCCACACCCAGCCAGTGCGTGTTGGGTCGTACCCTCAGCAAACCTCAGGGTCTGATGTCAGTGGCTACCAAGATTGCACTTCAGATGGCCTGCAAGATGGGAGGAGAACTGTGGAGTGTGGAGGTTCCTGTAAGGGTCAAGTTTTTTCTAGACTTGTTAAAAGGCCAACAAATTCAAAACACCTGCTTCTGGAACAATTGAGTTATCTTTTCATTTGTTTAAATTGCAGCATGTTGTTTTGACAAGTCTCTTTGTGTTTCTAGCTTAAGCAGCTCATGATTGTGGGCATTGACTGCTATCATGACACCACAGCGGGGAAAAGGTCCATTGGTGCTTTAGTGGCGAGTTTAAATCAGAGCATGAGCAGGTCTGTTTACTTCTAGCTTCTGGGTTTTTTAATTGACTGTGATTTTTTTTTTTTCTTGTATTGGCTAGTTTAAAGTTATAATTTGTGTTGGTTCATTTTTGGTTTCATTTATCATCTTTCTGCAGGTGGTACTCAAACTGTGTGTTGCAGCACAGAGGCCAGGAGATCATGAATGGTCTGAAGAAGTGCCTTGGTGGTAAATAATGATGAATATTAGAGCTAATTAGAAATGGGAAATTATTCAAGCATCTGGTTTAATTTCAGGTGCTTTGAAAGAATACCTGAAGTTCAACCAATGTCTGCCCTCTCGTATCATTGTGTACCGAGATGGGGTAGGAGATGGACAGCTCCACAGTGTTGTCAACTATGAAGTTGCACAGATCATGGAAGCAATCAAATCTATAGGCCAAGACTACATGTATACCATATTTATATTTGCATTTTAACAACAAAAAAGTGTTTGGTTTTTTTCCTAGTATTTTCTGTTCATCTGTTTCAGGCCAAAGATCAGTGTGGTGGTGGTGAAGAAGCGCATAAACAGCAGGTTCTTTGCGCACATCAATGGCAAAGTGTCAAACCCTCCACCAGGCACAGTTGTGGACACTGATGTTACCCGTCCCGAGTGGTAAGTGAAATATTTTAAATGTATTTATTTTTTAGAGGCCAATAGGTTTGATAGCTTTTGAAAATCTTAGAATGACTCATTTAGTTTAATGCACATTGACAGGTATGACTTCTACATCGTGAGCCAAGCTGTCCGTCAAGGAAGTGTTTCCCCAACCCATTACAATGTTGTGTACGATACTAGCGGACTCAAGCCTGACCACATGCAGCGGCTCACCTACAAGTTGTGCCACATGTACTACAACTGGCAGGTGTGTAGATAGAAACTGTGTGCCTGATATTTGTTTGAGAAGGATAGACTTGTACTAGACTTGTAAATAAACATTACATATTTCTGTTTTTGTAGGGAATCATCAGAGTGCCTGCTCCATGCCAGTATGCCCACAAATTGGCCTTCCTCGTGGGACAGAGCATTCACAGGGAGCCCAATGTCAAACTTGACAACCTGTTGTTTTATCTTTAGACTAGACTGCATTCTTAGTTTGTTTTAGATGTTCCTGAAGTCTTTTTAGACATAAAACATGACTAGCTAATTTTTTCTTATTGGAAGTTTAAATTTAAATATATTTGAGAAGCTGTTTGAATAATAATTTGATTATTTGTAAGAATAAGTTTACTGGCAGTCGTGAATTTTATTTAGATGTTAACTGTTTGGTCATTAGCAATGTTGTTGCATATTAAAATGGTAAACGTTGGCAAACAAGTTGAGACTCGACTACAAAATAGCAAATTTATTCATAATATTTTTCTTTAGAAAATATTGCACATGCACACCCACACAATGTGTAACCAGTAATATAGGCTGATAATTTTTATATCATAAAGCTAGCACACAATAGCAGACTCTTAAACAATATGGTCTTAAAGACACCATGGGGGAAGCTTGCACTGTTTGATTATAAAGTTAATGTAGAAAAAAGGCAGTTTGAAAATCAAGTATAAACATTTAAAAACAATTTTACAAATGGACAAAGTACAAAAAGAGCAACAGTCACTTGAACAAAAACAATGAGAATAGGGTTGGTCTTTAGGAAAATGTGGAGTTTGTCATTAGATAACATGGCTAGGCAGCTGAGAAATGTACAGGAAATATTACAGAATGTTTGCATACATTCCATTTGGCAGTTTCAGTTCAACTCTTGTTCAAAAAAATAAACTTTGAGATGGTTGAAACAGAAGTGTAGGGTTGACACTTAACAATCACAAGACTGACATCAGGACAATCCCTTTGGGTAACTTTCTAATACATTGGCCTTCATTTGATCATACATTCACTACTCTACAGTAAGGTGGATTTTATAGATATACAGTACTTGTATCTATCACAAAAATGCAACAATTATAGACCATATCCAGGCTGAATAACCAGATTTGATTTGGCCATACAGAAAATAGAGGTAGCTTTGTCTTTAGCTAACTTTAAAATGTTAATGTGACTTTTGTTTCTATATAGATGTCCATTATATTTCTTATACTATATTGTATGTCATGGATTAGGATTAGTGTGATATCAGTATAGGACGGTCACTTAAAGTGCTTTTCTTATCGGCATTCGACCCAACTCTGTCCTAAAGTGTTATTCCCTGCACGTCACAGTTGGGAGTAGTGAAGGAAAGTTTAGCTATGACACATGACAAAAGAGCAGACATGGAGCTGCACATTACAGGACAAGATTTAAACCTTTGTGCAATTATAAGGCAAATACATGAAGGTTGGATCTGCTAGGCATTTCCAGTCAACTGGACATCAATGGTTGATTCTGCTGCAGAAACCCTGTAAGTACAATGTGCTTGTTCTCTGTGCCTGACATTTGCTTTTCTTGAAAAGGGGGCAGAGGGAGAGTCGTTCATTTTGATTAGTCACAGTATAACTCAACATTGTGTCAGCTAAGTACTATTAGTATGCATACATGTGTGCCCATTATTAAGTTTAATTAAAATGCCCCCACAGGTTCAGAGGTACTGTGCCTGTAGGATACTGACCTCACTGATTTGTGGGTTATTTATTGAAAATATGGAATATTTTATTATTTGACATTCTGTAATTTTCTAAATTAGTGCATTGGCAGATACTGAGGCATTAGGACCGACAAATGTATGTTTTCAGAAAATGAATTTTTATAACTTAACAAAATACAGGTGATATCAATGTACAGCAGATTTACAATAATAATTTACGTTCTCAAGTTGTACTTTAAAAATAAAATAATTTGTATCCCTATATAGACTCTAGATTATCTCTAGACTTATTTTACAGGTGCAAGTTTATGCATTAGGTCCTTCCCTTTTTGAGCAGTGTTGTTTTCCTTGTATCGGAGTGCGTGTGCCACCAGGCAGAGCCAGGCCCGGGGAAGTATGGGCAGACAGTGGAAGCAGAGCAGTTTTTTCCATTGGCACCTGATGGGGAAACCCGTAAGGGACAATTGATGGTATTAAAAAGTCAAAAATTTTACACCTGAAGCACCACTCCCCTCCTCCACAGTTCTGTTTGTCATTATGGGGTATAGCTCTAAGTCCCTCCCCTCCCTCACTCCAGAAGTTAGGTAGGGGTCATGAAGCTACCACAGGTGACACTACACAACACAGAGTTGAAGCATGTTTAACTAACTTTCACATCTAGGGTAACCACATTTCCCAACAATGGCTGTCAAAGACAATGCAGTTCCTCTCACAAAAACTGTTACATTTGCATATTGTGACAATTAGGACATAGTTATCACATTCACTTTTCTTTACTTTACTAAATACCTGTTATAATGTATTTGTATTAAACAGACATCTGAGATATAGAGAAACTACATGTCACTATTTGTTTCTGTAATCATGAGCTAAAAGGCCTTACATTGCACTTGCGATTTAAAAAAATGTGCAGAATGTTCACAACATATACGCTCATAATGCCAATTACAATTTTAACCTTTTATACTTTTAAACAATTGGTCAAACAAAAACTGCACCTTGCTAAAGCACCACAATTACTGTAAGTCTAAATTCACCTTTAAAGGAAGTAGTTAAATATATGTGCACCTGCAGCCTTTCAGCATCTCATGAGTTACAGGAAGAGACTCATTGCAGGGGACAGACATTGTCATATACAACACTCAGAGAAACAACTGAAGATACCATACTTATTGTCTAATGCATTGGCGAGGGTTAGATTAGTCTATCAGCAGACAGTGATAGGGAGTTAGACTTATCTGAACAGTGCAAAAGGAATGTAATGTTCATGGTGTATACTAGAAATGTAAGGGGCACCCAGGACATCTGCATTAGATGAGGGGAGTGTTACAGAGGTATCCTCAGTTGCTCACTTACGTGAAGGAAATAGAGCCTTTAAGGTGTGAAATGAACACTCTTCTTCTGTTTTGCCAAGCAGGTGAGGAAAAGAAATAAAAACAAACAAAATATGGTGATGGCATATTAATAGTTTGCGCAATGACAATGGTAAAAAAATACAACAAGTAACATCAAATGACTTTGCAATTTTAAAACAATTGTGTCAGTCTTAGTTGGACACAAAAATAACATGATATATTTACATTTAGGAAATTATAGATTTCTCTGACAGCGACATGTTATGTGACCTTACGTGCTACTTTACAAGAAAAAAGATTTACAAAACAAGGCGTTCTGGAGCTGATACAAAAGTTCAACTATTTTGCACTTATCTTTTTATAAAATCTTCAAGAAACCATGCATCTATAAGACATGCTGAGAATATTCCATATGGTTTGTCTATCAGAAGAACAAAACTATTTACTCTATTAGAAATAATTTCAGATTAAACAATATATTCATAAAGCATCTGGCTGAATGCAAAGTATGCATGTGCAAAAAGGATTGACTGCTGATTTTAAGACAGTAACAGGTAAAAAGTCACTGGAGAAATGGACTAACTGAGAATGCATTATGAATGGTCCATCCATTCAGTTCTCCCCCTCACAGCAGTAAACATGGCAAATAAAATACCTCAAGTATTTCTTTAAAGATCTTTTTAAACATCTATATATTTACAGTAAAATGGTCAACCAAAAAACCCACCAGACTTGAATCAATGAGACACACGCACAGACACGAGACTGGAGGAGATAGAGGGGACTGAGAAAGGATGAGAGGGCTAGTACTGCGAAGGAGCATGTACCCTTTTGGTCTTTATCCGAGCTGGAGTGTCCGGAGGGTAACGAGATGGTGAGTCAGTGAGAAAAACCTCTACATCATCAGGCACTTCTTCAAGAAAGTTGGAAGGAACAAGTCCTTTGTGTCCATTAAGTTCACCCTGCAGAGTACAGAAAAGCAGATGTACTGTGTGCTTTTTACAGTATTCTCATACAAGTCAAGTAAAATATACTCCTTGCAAAATAAAACAATAATTTTTTGAATTATTCTTGTCTTCTTTTGAGCTCAAAACACAGCTAATCACTGATAACCTTATTAAATAAACTTACATAGTAAAAACCATCTTCATCTATTTCACCAAAAACTGTGATGACATCTCCCGCACAAAAAGTCAGTTCAGCCTGTGAAAAAAAGATTGACATTGACATCTTAGTTGAACATTGACTATAACACTATTTCGTCCTAACTTGGTGTTCAAACAGGTCAGGACTAAACACATCAAATTTAAGGGGGTGCAGTATGTTTTCAACACTGAAGTTCTTCTCCAAACAAAGATGATGCATCTTAAATATGAGTCAGACTAATCACACAGTTGCATTGAAGGGTGCAACTGACAATGCATCAGAATTTTGAAGACTGAAGCGGACACACAGGTCTCCATTTGGGTTGTTGCAGAAACACAAAACAAACATGGCCCATGTAGGGGACAAGTGGACACAAAGACCAAACTGAGGAGTCAGAATGCTGCCTTAGGCAATACATGAGGGGCTATAGTGGCACCCAAAAGGGACCTAAGGCTAGACCCTTCATCTGAAGCCTACCTCCTCCTTTGCACTGCAACATGGGGAGGAAACAGACACAGAAAATTGATAGACCCTCCTTCCCCACACTCACCTCCTCATTCAGTCTGTGACGCTCATACTGAGGCGATGGCAGTGCCAATAGAAAGGTGACAGTGAGTAAAATCAAGAACATGGCCACGTGAAACCTCTATGCTGAATAAAGCCCTCCTGTACATAACTGCTCTTAGCTAAACAGAGCTATGTATGTGCTAAACAAACCCATGATTGTAATAGACAGTGATAAGACAAAGTGAACAGCTGAGTGTGCAAGAGTGCTTAAGGTGATACCTCCACATCAACATTAGGGGAGCTCTCTCTTGGGTCATAATCATAGAGGGCCACCATTCTTCGGGTTGACATAGGATATGGCCGGCCACTTCGTCTGTATCTCTCTGAAGCCGTAAAACACAAACATAACAGAAATGCTGAGATACAGTATAGCAATAACAATGCATGAAGAAAAGGACTGAACACAGTATGATGAAAATGGAGAAGAGCATCTATTCTACACAGACCTCTCTTGGACCTTCTGGACCTGCGATTTATTGAGCGGCCATCTCTGAAACGGTCGCAGTTCACTTCATAGCAAAGAAAAGCAGAGGCAACAGTTGGAGAAGCAGGTAGTATAGTCAAAAAAACAGCAATATAAATATGGCTCACCTAATTTCTCTACAGGAGTGTTAAGTGGAAGGAATCCCTGTTTGAGTAGCTGGCCCATCATTTCATCATCTTCTGTTTGAATCTCTGAAACCATGTTACATGGTATTACACCAACTCTGTCTCGAATTTGCGCTCGGTAGAAGCCATCCTTGTCTTTATTTCCAAACACCTAAAATGCAAACCAAGCAAATTACAACATGCTCAAACTAAACATTCTGTTACTGCCCATAATGTTATGTCACCTTAATGATTTGACCCTCTTTGAAAGGCAACTCTTCATCAGCAGCATCAGGGTTGGGTGACATGGACATTGGATCATAATCAAACAGAGCTACAAACACTCGTGTCAGTTCACCCATCTCCTCCCCATAGGAGCGGTGTCCCCGGCCGTGCCTGCGTCCACCATAACTATCTGAAACAAAGAGGAGGCCTCGGCTACTACTAACAGCTTTACACAGCCACAAAGGGCCCAAAAGTAATGGGAGGACATGGTGTCTGGTAAAGCTGACGGGGGAAACTTGGTAAGGTGCAGTGCATGTGTGAAAAAGAAGTGTTTTTTTTTTTTTTATTTAGCTGTAGTTTGTCAAATTGCCAAATAACATGAATCAAACATAAATAGTTCACAGTTTTGTGGGTTTCTTTGTTCACACATATCTGCTCTGTGATTTGACAGACACCAAACATCACAGACTGAACAACACAAACAAAAACATGTCTCGTGGATTGATGGGTGCAAAGAGAAGAACTGGATGCACAATGCAAGACTCAGGAATACAGTCAGATCAACACAGCACTATGTTCATTGCTGTTTCACTTTGCGGGCATGCAAGCTCTTCAAATGTAACACAATGTGTTATTCCAATGTAGGTGTTGTTTGCAACATAAAATGAATGACAGCATAAAGATTCTCCATTTGTTTGTGATTATGGATCTTAGGGGCAGTGAGGGGGTGGCATGAACCTCATGCTTCTTGTGGATTTCTATGAATTATATTTCAATGGCAAGAAAATTTTAATTAATCTAATATAGTACTGTAATGCATTTGAAGATGGAGTCTTTAATGCATGGCCAACTAAGTAACAGAGTTGAAGGTATTTAATAAACTGCATGCAAAAATAAATGAACAGACTGGCCCAAAAAGGGACTTGAGTGAAAAGGAGGGACAGCTGGGTGCTGAAGGACCTTGACATGAAGGGTGAGTACAGGAGTGGGTGGGTTGGTTTCTTTAAGGATTAGAGGTGTACATACAAGGGAGGGTTTTCATTCTCCAATGGGAAAAGTGGCCAGTCTGGCATTCCCCTGTCAGCTTGTCTCATCTAAAGCTAAATCCAATAACAAACTATGACCACCATTCATGGATGATATCACCGCATGTGTTTGACTTTGACTCATCACTTATCAATGATGCATTATCTTTTTGGAGAGGCTGCACTACATACCATATTGATCCTCTGAGGACATAGGTGGCCATATCCTGCGCCGAGCTACACTGCCATAGTTAACATCCTCCTTGCCAGGTGAGAGGTTCCCCTCACTCCCCTCACTGTTACTGTCCATGGTGATCTCTACAGAAGACACCAATCACAGCATTATGTCAGATCCCTTAGACAAACACTCAACTCTATCCCATGGCCCAGTTTAGCATTGTCACACTAGATGTGATGGAGTTGCCCTGAAGGAGCTGGATGCACAAGGCAACACATTTCTCTAAAATCAGACATTGTAAAACAGCAATGCTTGCATTCTTGCAAGGTTTAATTCAATAATAAACACTCACACACGGTTATAAAGGAATATAAACTTTTCGAAACAATTCACGCTCATGAAAATGAGTGGCTACTAGTTGGACAAACATCCCATAAAAGGTGTTTCTGAAAGCTATGGAGAGATGTTCAGCTTGGCTCGTATGGGAAAAGGGGAACACACAAGGTATTTCTGCACAAACATCTGAGGTGCTGGAAGGACAGTTATTCTCAGGATGTGATCTCACTAACCAATAGAGGGGATGGGGCGTCGCTGAGGGGGGGTACCAATGTGGACCACTCTCCTCCCTGAGGGATCCAGGCGGTCTGAGTTTCCATGCGTTGGTGAGTTGACAATCTTTAGGGAAAAGAAATTAGATGTTACAACATTATTTGCATAAAATATGAAAGTAAAAATAAATCTCACAAATTAATCCTGTTAAAAGAACTTAAAGCCGTAAGAGCAAATGACTGTCCATTTGTCCTTAGGGAAACCAAATAATAGACAAAACATTGATAAAGAAATCCATTAACTGATCAAAAAAATGAAACCAGCCCTCAACACAATAACAAGTGTTCGAGTTTGGTTTTGAACTAAAGACCATTTTCTTAGTTTGTTTTGTTTTAGGCATGTCATGTCACGTGTTTCCATAATCCAAATGATGAAAGCAGGGGATGGTGAAATAATGAGCAAAGACTAAGAAACGGGACTACAAAAATAACAAATGATGATTGAAAGAGCAAAACGTGGACACATTTGTCAATGCTCCAACAGAAATTACAAAGTTAATATTTTAATATTTTATAATTTAAAAGCAAAGCAAAGTGAGATGTGGTAATGGCATTGTTGAGCAGTGACAGTGAAAAGCAGAAGACAAGCTTTCCCATGCATTGGACATCTGCTGCTCTTTTGATGGACCCTTTCCCCTCAGAGACATGAAAAGTCAAAACGTGGTTAAATGGCCTTTAGATAACTAAAATTCCTCATTTCAAATCCACTTGACATAATGAAATACAAGCAAAGTAAGTGAGACAAAGTAAACATCAACTCAGACTAACTGTGAACATGTGACACTTGGTCATTAAATAAAGGGAATGCCAACAAAAGGGTGCTTATTTATAAAGAAAATATAACAACATTCAGAAAACAGGATGGCTGTTTGCTGATGGAATGGACAGCAGAAAGTCGGATTCACACACCAGCGGCTGGTCCCGGTTGTGCCTGGGCATAGACTGGAGCCTAGCCTCTCTGTGTGGGAAGACTCCAGTTTCCCGAGGGCCATAATGTTCCCTGTTCCTAAAATCCCCTGTGTGAACTGCCTTGGCTGCCGACCCCGGCCCATCACAGAATTCCTCCTCCACGCTGCACTGGCGCGTCAGAGTCCTTTTGCGGCCCATAGCCAACGCACGTCTCTCCACAGGACCTTCACAGTGGATGATGCGCACAGGCCCTCTCATGGGGCTGCCGTGAGCATAGTACACTCGATGGCTCCGTCCCAGAGACCCCTCCTCCTCACTGCCACAATCTAACCCACTATCTGGACTCTTTGTGTTCTGGCGGTTCATACGACCCAGGCTTCCATCCTCTGGGTAGCCGTAGCGACTATCACCATAGCGGGGTGAGGAGCGCTGCCGCTGTAGAAGTCGGGAACTTTTGCTGGGGGCTAAATGATTGTGCATGAGGCTGTCCTGAGGATACAGCCTCCTCTGAGTGTGCGGCGTTCCCGGTCTCCCACTCTCCTCAAAGCTCAGGTGCTGGCCCATGCTGTCCACACTGTCTGACTCCTCCTCGGCCACTTCGGGGATACTGTGCAAACGTTTGCTGCGGAGCGACTTTTGTTTGACCACCTCCCTCTGAAGGTCCCAGCAGTCTCGCTCTTCAGCTAAATCCTGACGCTTGTAATATGCCTTCAGTAGTGCAACATTCAAAGATCCACATTTTCACAGTTCGCAATTTCAGTTCAAGTTAAGTTCAAGATTCAGTTTTGAGGGGATTGAAAGTTGAAGGAACAACACAGTACGCAAATAGAATAAATGGGGAGGGAAGACAAAATAAAGACAGAATTAGTTATTTGTGGCAATGTAGTAAGACATGCAGTCTCATTCAATGAGGGGGAAATGGCATGCTCTAAGCAGGAATCTGTAAAGGCTAAGACAAACTTAAGTAAAGTAATAACTAGATAAAATATGAAAGAATAAGAGAAAATGTAAAAAGGTAACATTTTGTATATGAATAAGAAATATTTGATGAAAGACAATGCAACATGGCTGGGAAAAAAAAAAACTGGTGTAAAAGCATGGGGAGGATCAACAACATAGTCAAAGACAAGCACTTGCAACATTATACACAATTTTACAAGTATGCTAAAGTATTTTTTTGTGCAAACTGACTGTATTAATGTCTGCACAATGCACAAACATGTACTTACACTGTAAATCAATATTAGTAGTATTAAAAGTATTTAATAATATTACTAAATTATTAGTATTATTAAAATTGAAAACATTTGTTAATGAAAGACATACTTTATTGTACAAAACCCTAGTCAATGTGAGCACATATAGCAATGGACAGAGCACAGTGAACACAGTAGTAACAAAGTCCTGTCTTGTCCATTCACTTATGCATCCACACAAACCACTCGCAAACCAAAGTACCAGTTATATACTAAGACTGACAACGTTTACAACAAAAAATAACAGAGCATGGCAGACAGCAACAAAAAATAAATACTTCCATTTAAGTACTCACTTAAATGAGATTCCCATATGCATTTGATATGCCATGACCCACTATAATGCTATGCTCTAAACAAAAGACAACATTAGAAACGACAAGTGAGCAGGCTCAATAGGTGACTAAATTACTGACTTGTCTTCACACATGTTGCTTCATTAGTTACACACAGCCTTTTAGGGGCTCAGCCTTAGATGTGTGAAGCTTAAGGGCAGGATGATGGAGCATGCTTTGCTGGAGGTCTGATTTAGCTCAAAAGAACACTGGTCATCCTTCTTCAGTTTGGTTTTTCCCCACCTCCCAGTTTGGCTTTCTAAAGGTGTAAACCAGGTGTGAGGGTACCTTGAGAGTGTTGTGAGAGTTAATGCTGCGTCTGCGACCCTCCTCCAGCTGCATCTCTGAGTACAGCTCTTCCTCATCTTCCTCCATGATGTCAGACAGGTCAGAGCCCCGACTGCTTTCCGTGTAGTACTCATCATTGTGGCTATAATGGTGATGATGATGGTGCTAGATGATAATTACAAAAAAAACAAGAAAATGAGAGAATGAGAAAGCAACAATGGTAATATATTTAGTAATGTGATGTCAAAAACATTGTGTGAAACATAACTTCACATTACCTGCCTTCCCAACTCAGAGCCTCTGAGAAATTCATCTACAGATGCTCCTCTCCTTCTTGCATGTGGAGAGTCATAACCATCCTCCTCTTCATCAGAGTTAAGAGGATGCATACCGCGCTCACTAAAGATGTTCCTCTTTTCAACCTGTACACAGAAAAAATATAAAAACCAATATCATATTTAACTATACTATTGTATGAAGACTTATTTTAGTCAACATACCCGGTTTCCCTCAGCAAAGACCCTCTGGGCAGCTTCCCTGGCCATGGCCTTAGCGATGGTGTTTGGGATGGGGACTCCCTGAGGCTGAGGCAGGATTCGCTGTGGAGATGGCGAGCGATGCGGCTGGAAGGGCGGCGGCTCCAAGTTGTGTCCGCGCATTGTGGGCAGAGGAGAGGGGCAGCGGTCCCAGGGCTGGCCCGGTCGTAAGCCAACCTCGTGCTCTTTGGTTTCTGGCTCTCTGGCACTTAGTAATGGTTTGGATGTGGGTACAGTGTGGCGCTGGTAGTGAGGCTGGGGGTGAGGGGGAGGGTGTCGTAGAGGCTGTGTGTGTGGTGCTGCATGTGGTAGTGTGTGGGGCTGCCCTCGTGGTACCGGCTGCACATGGGGCTGAGGATGGTTTGGAGGGTATGTAGATGGATAAGGAGGGTGAGTTTGGGAGTGCACAGGAGGTGTCTGCATTTGGGGAATTGGGTGGGGTGGTGCAATATTGCGGCGTGATAGGTGTGGAGAGCCTAACAAATTGTGCGGGATTATGGCCACCGAAGAGTCTTGAGACTCTCCTTGTGTCGATAATGTCCTTACAATAACTTCTCGGGCCTCCAAACAATGAAGCCTGTTTAATTCCACTGTTACATAGTCTGCTGTTGGGTATAGGACTTCTGCAATCTACAAAACATAATGAATAAGCACAACAAATTAGGGCATTTTTACAAACTATATATATCATACTACATACACACTCTGAAAATAGAAAATAATCCACTATGACTAGACTAAGCACTATAAAAAGTTACCAGAAGATGGCAACAGAGCGCTATTCTGATAAGATGTACAGAACAGACTATTGCAGAAGACTGCTACTGTCAAGTATGTATTTCGTTTGATGTATGTTGTCAGAACATATTTACCTTCTGTCCTTTTGTGCACACTGCATAGCCAATTACACTCGCCCCATTGGAGGTTCCTGAAGGAGTCAGTGGAGGGGGCTTCCATCTGATTTGCAGGACCCCGGGCGTTTGACCACACAGGACCTGTACCTCCTGCGGTGGGAGTGGGGGCCCTGGGGACAACACACACAAGCAGCTGTATTAGGAGAGGAAACAAAAAAGCTGAGCTCTGCCTGCACCATTTCTGCTGCTTGATTTAGTAGAAAATATAATGCTGACCTCAGTACTACACTATACACTCTATCCATTTAATAACCTGACTAGAGTTATGAAATAGGGATATTCCTCTGCTGTGGGCGTAAATTACAAACAGTGGTCTAACAAGAGACTTTGCAGATAGGAAATAACACAGCTACAAAGATATGTGGGAAAATATACATAAAAAGTAGTACATACAAAGTACTACATGTGGGGATTTTCAATGTTTGTGGAAGGTACAATATTTGCTGTATGGGTGACTATGTCTATTGCTAAAGTGCAATTAAAGCCTAGACCAAACACCTAAAATCAAAAAAAGAATAACATTCTTTGACTTCAAAAATCTCACTCACTCTGCAAGTGGACTCTGCCTACTAAACAACATACCCATCTGTGCAATACTGTGCCCCCTGCAGACACACAGTCAGGCATCAGATGCAGTCAGCACTATCTCCAAGCTGCAGCATGCAACTGTGAGTCTGAAGATCCACATCAGGATCTTAATTACATTTATACTCAGGAAAGCCAGTACATGGGGCAGGAAAATAGACTAAACAAAGATGTCTTTAATATAAAAAAGCACAAAAATGAAATAATTGAGTTATTTACATATAATATGGGTAACAACACATTGTCCCTGCAAACTAAGGCAGTGGTATGTGACAAACGCTATTAAAATGTTGTATTGCTAGCTATTAATGAAGTTGCTTCCAAGAAGACGACTCTGACAGTGAAAGCCTAATATAGTTCTTCTACACACAGCCCATGTTTTATTGACAAGAGATGTCTGTCTGCCACCAACACTCAGACTATTCCAGTCGCCTCTAATTTACATATTCAATAGATAGATCATTAAATGAACCCTCAGCATGTTTGCTTGTCTGTAAAAAGTCAATTAAAAATTTTGTCCTGCCCCTTTGCCTTTGACTTTCACTTTCACTTTTACACTACAACACATACAATGCAAAAAATATTAAATGTTTTACACCATCTTATTAAACAATTATATTGATAAAAAAGTAACTGACAACCAGCAAGCACAGCATGCTTCAGACTGTATATTTAAATGGACATGGCTAATGCACTAGCCGCTGTGTTCCATATAGGATCATTCACTTAGCCCACTTCTTTATAAAGTCTCTGCTTCCAATAGATATTTTTCATAACTTTAAATGTTTTGTGTTCTGTTGCTGTTTGTGGGCTGTCTCTCTAAATACACAACCTCTGTGGCAATATTAAAGAGGCAAAGGAAAATAGAAATGGTTGACAGTTTTCAAGTAAATAAATGTTAGTTAAATGCTAGGTAATGTTTAAGAAATAAATTGTCTCTCTGGATATCAATGTTGGCTGATGACTATCTTTCAGATAAATTTAGAGAGGACTACATTTTACACAGCATCTGATTAGGGCAATATATCAACAAAAAAGACTGACCTGCAGACTGAGTGCAGAATTCCACAGAAATTTCCCTTTTGTCCCTTTGATCCAATGGAAGCTGCCAAGGCACCTGATGCGGCTGTGCCACGACTTTCACCTTGTAAACTGTCATAGGCTTCAGGTTGAGAAACTTGTACCTATAGCCACCTGCCTTCACCATGTCGTACTCTGCTCCATTGAGGAAGATGGTGTGACTGTAGTTGCTATTGCTGGGCATCCATGACAGCTCAGCCGACACCTGTGTTATACTGTCTACGCGCAGGTAATAGGGAGCCACTACCACATCCTTCCCCACCAGCAGGGTGCAGCGCAGCTCATCGGACGGGCCTCGCTCCGTGATGGTCTGGACCGAGATCCGGTATGTATTGGTGGCTAAGTTTAGCTTTTCAATTAGAGACTTTGTCCTTCCCCCATATGGCACACTCATTCGTACCTCCTTATCTACTAAGACATTGTAGCCACTGATGGAGCCCCAACCTGGAGGGACCACAGGGGGGTCCCAGCCAATAATAACACTCTTGGCCAATTGTTTGATCAGGTTGATGCGGCGGGGATAAGGCACAATGTCTTCACCAACCTCATCTATGTTAACATCCAAGGTTCCTGTGCCATTGCTAGTGGAGCCTAAGAGATCCATGCTCAAGCTGCTGGTGCTTAGACAGTCTAATTTACTATCAGACAGCAGGCTGCTCGTTCCTGTTCCTGTCAGCGTGCCCAGTCCCAGTTTCTGAGGTCCCAGGCTACTATGGTTGAGGTAGCCAGGTTCTTTTGTTGTTGTGTCCCTTTGTTTGATGGATTTCCCCTCATCTTGGACAAAATCCACAAAATTAGAAGGAACAAGGCCCCGCCGTCCATCCAGCAGCTCTCCTAAGGCACAAAGGAAAAGATCAATTGAATGACCATCATATTTAAAACAATAACCGGCTGTATGAAACTGCTGTAACATACCTTCATAAAAGCCATCCTCATCCATTGTCCCATAAACATAGAGGTACTTCCCTGCCACCAGTGGGAGCTCAGCTTCAGGGTGTTCATTGGGCCCATCATAGGGATTATAGCTGTGAGAGCAAAATCATGACACAATATAGCAAACTAACTACACAATATTTCTTCAAATGACAGGTTTTCTGTTGTGAAAAGTGTATTTGCCTACAACCACCATAGCTGAGAGGATATTTTGAACACTGCTTGAAGCACAACTTTGTTGGGCTGCTTTCTATATCTGTGAGCTGAGATTTTCGATTATTTTTGTGCTGACAGGTAATTTTCTTTAGAGACAGAAACACAGAATCTTCCCTCACCCCAGTGAGAGAAAACAAATAATTCAATCAAGATGTTGGAACTGAGTCCTGAAGTTAAAGATGTGACTTTCTTTGTCATCACTCACTTCAGTAGGCTGTGTATAAGCTTTAAATACATACCTATAGCGAGCGATGCACAGACGAACCTTCCCTGTGTATCTGAGCTTGGACCTGGTGGTTGATCCAAGATCTTTCTCCATCTAAAATGAACAAAATTAGGTTATGGGGATAACAAAGAAAAAACAAATGTATCTAGGTATGACAAAATTTATTATTAATCATTTTCACATATACTTCCATTTATACCAGTGAAATCAAATTAAATTTCTATTCATTTAATTTCTATAGATTACAGAAATTAACCTGAATTACCTCAGAAAGGAAGGCACGTGCAGAGCTGCTGCCTGTCCGAGTGAGGAATGTTGGTTTGACAGAGAGGAGATCAGGCTTGTCTCCACTCAGCTGTAGAGGCCGAATAAACTCTGATATTAAAGACCTGGTTGAGGGGATCTCATTTCCTGCAACAAATTTAATAAATTTAACAATAATTATCTCAGTAAATAAAAGATACAAACTAGGTAGTTGAAATCTCTATGTATTTAATATTAGTACAATACACAAATAAGAATACACCGCAAGATGCTGTGTGCACCTGAACAATCTGCCACCCAACACACAACAAATGCACTGTGTATTAATCTTGAACATTCATTTAAAACCAGGCATTAATTACTGAAAATTGTAATTAAGTCTTTTTAGACCATATATGATCTGTATATTGTTTTTTCAGTGCCATCATTTCCTTTCTATGGAAAAAAAATGTACAAATGAAGGTCAATGTTATATACAACTAAAATAGTTAGACCTTTTCCTGTAGGGGCAGCCAATCCATTTAGCAGCTGGGACAGGGACTTGTGGGGGAGCCGGGTGATTCACACACAGTTACTGGTTCAGTGCTGAGGATGTCAAACTTCCCCGCCTGCAGCCGAAACCTCTCCAGCTCTTTTGATAAAAGATTGAACTGCTCGCTCTGGCTCCGGCATTTCTCCTCCAGGTCCCGGACCTTGGCCTGACGACCGGGAATACAACAGAGCCAGAGAGAAGGAAAGAGAATAGAGAAAGCCAGAAGATAGGAGATCCACACACAAGGAAGGAAAAATGGCAAAAAAAAAAGAATAAAAAGTTATGCACGTATTAATAATAGTTGTGGACAAATCATATATTTTCTGTTCAATAGTAGCATGGAATGGGTAAATGCAGGTCACAAAAAATTGCAGTTTTAACAGAGGCATTAAAATACTCTCATAGATTTAAAATGCCCCGTGCATAGATAGTTTTGGTCTGAAAAATAAAAATGAGGAAGTTCTGTTTAGGAAGTACGGCAGCTATTCTCAGGCAAATTAAGGTTTACCCAAAGAAAGTCCTAGGCATAGTGTAACACTCCTGCTAATTATTAATACATGAGTCAACACAAAATTACACAGAAAGAGCACAAAAATTAATAGTAGCATCACAGTCGTAAGGTGGGTAGTTGCTAAAACATGCATTGGCATAAATGAAAATGAAATTTTGTGTTCTTTAGGTGTATTTTACATTCAGTTAGAGTAAATTAAATATTGACAAGGCTCACTGTTTTTCAAAAATTTTATTTAAACAGTCAGTGAGGTCTCGAGAAGGATCTTGTCTTTGAGATATCCACTGTATCTGCCTTTTATGGAAGTAGAAATCTAAAGCTTTGTAATACAACTAGATTTAGGTTAACCCTGATTCATAATTCATACCAGATTGAACATTTTGCAGTCATTCATCTCCTAAACCCAGAACTGAGGCTGTTACATCTCTATAGCCCATGGCTGTAAGTGAAACAAAGTGTGAGGCACAGAACATGCAGGTGCAAGTAAAATGATATCAAGTAGAGAAATGAAAGCAATTCAGCAATACCTGCATGCTGTCCAAGTGGTTCTGTATATGTGTAACCACACAGCCATACAGTGCAAAGAAATATAAAAAAAGAAAATTAGCACAATTACTTGTGTGTTCACTTTTAAACACATTCAAAGGAAAATAGTGTGCAGGATACAAAAATCCTTTATTATGCTATTAAAAATCATTTTACCCAGTTGGATTTAACAGCACTAATAAAAGGCATTATCAACACTCTGAGATCATAAATTAGATTTTGAACCAGAGCATTAAAATTTAAATAGTGAAGAAAAAGTCCCATACGGCAGACCCTTCCCCAACGCTCACCTCTAAAAGATGGACAGCTCCCTCATGTTCCTTTTTAGCCTCAACCTGTGCCTGAGGAATACAGGGTCAGTGTGTAAGTTCACTGGAGATCATGGCTTAGTTTAGTTTCATTTAGATGACATTTTAATGCATCTGTATTTGTACTCAAATGTTGTGATATGTAACATACAGATGTAAAAATAAGATCATATGTTTAGGCAAGTATTTAAAACATTGTTTGAAAAAAAACAAAAACACTTTCAACAGACTATAAATGCGTAAAGCTCTCAATAACCAATAGCAAAATGGTTTGAGAATGAAGCAGGAAAAAACTGAGACACTCAAAAAGTACAAAATAATTAGCCAAAATAAAAGCCTTTAATACCACATGGCAGATAAAGTTAAAATCACCTTTTATTTTTTTTATTTATTTATTTATTTATTTATTTATTTGAGATAGTGACAGCACACAATTTTTACATTAACCTTAACAGGAGAGATGCATTGTACCAGGTTGTAGCACCAGTGCTAATTTCCTTCATCAGGGCAAACTCGAGATAGATATCACAGTGCATATTTAAAGTAATAGGTGTAGGTCACATGTTCATAGTCCCCTGGTGCATGATGGGACAAGTAGGCTGAACTGATTTTAGTTACAAGCTATTTAAATTCAAATATAATACAAGATATAAATAGTACTAACCCAACAACCAATATATAGAAAGATACATAGTATAAAAAGTATAAAAATATATATAGTGCAAAATTCAAAAGTGCTACAGAAATAACTATAATTTGTATAACATATTAGAGGACTAGTTATAGGATTAGTTAAACAGTTTCATGGAGCTTGTGGTTTTAAAGGAAGTGGTTTTAAAGGAAGGGGGAGAAATCTAGCTCTCCACTGAGTCCTGGAAACTGGGTGGTCTTGAGAGTGTAGATCCACAAGGACTCTCTCTGTAATAGTGTTTTCAATCTATCTCCTCCTCTTATTCTTTCTTTAATATGTTCAATTACACAGATTTTTTGGCTTTTACAGCTGCGATGGTTGGCTTTTTTGTAATGCATGGCCATAAGATATAGGGGGTTACAGGTCCTTATAGCCCATTTGTACTCAGCCAGGCTGTTTTTCAGTTTGCGTTTTGTTCGTCCAATGTAAAACCGACCACATAGCCTATGGCCATGGTTTGAGAATTATTCATCACCTATGCAAACTTGTGTTTTTGTCTGCCCATTTATTTCTCACCAACTAGATGATTATATAGATTATAATACATAAAACATCTAGAGGCACCATTTGACCTTTATGTTTACAGTCCCACTCTCAAATTTGACCCTCTCAAACATTATCTAATTAGGAGAAAAACAAACAAAATCTCAACTGTTTTACACAACATAACACAGTAACAGGCCTCTGCTAAGTGAAGCTGAGAACTGTGGAAGCTGGAGTGCAAAGAGAAAAAAGTGGCACTAGAGCTACAACAAGAGGCTTTGGCCACAATCTTTATCACTTTCACACTATCAACAATCCCTGCTATGACTGACCATGCGTGCCCACCACAACCAACCAGAAAACAAAACCATAGAGGAGTTAGCATTAAATGTCCAGGCCTAGAATTTTAGTTTAAGCAAGTGTCCAAAAAGTGTCCGATCCCATTAAGTTTTTGACTGTTTGATTAGACTTTAATGAACAGTGGAGTCTGTGGGAGATGGAGCACAGTGGGCTACAAGTGATAGATGACTTTTGAAATGGGCTAGAAATGCTCTTGCTGTGCCCCCAATGAGAAGAGCCCATTCTACCCCATTTTGAACATAGTTGACCCCCTACTGTGTGTATATTGTACTTGTGGTCAAAAAAAGTCTTTGGACCAATACCACATAAGCAGGGAAGGACATTAAGTGCTCTTAGTGTTACATAAGGTGAGCTTCCTTACCTTTTGAAGCAGGTCAATCTCCTGCTGTTTTGCATTGAGTACTGCCAATGCCTGCTCATGCTCCAACTCTAGCTGCTGCCTCCGCTCTGCAGCCTCTCGCATATGCTGTCCGCAGGGGAGGCAGAGTGTCAAGAGGGGATTGTGGGAGAGGAAAGAAAAAGCTGTTGTTACTATGCTGAAAGTAGGTGCATAAAACCTTTTCTCTGTTGCTTGTGACCTGTGATAAGAAATATTTATTTTTTAGCATATTTTGTTATAATGGGCAGACACGTATCATTTCTAGGTAGCAATGTAGGTATTTATTCTGTTTTTTATTTCAGAATGTTTACGCTGAGGGTGCAATTTTGCTCTTTAAATTTTCAACTATTATGTCACAAAGTCTCATCACTCCAGGGAGTTACAATGTCCAGAACCCAAAACATGCCCGCAGAAGAGGAGTACCTGAGCAGAGAGTTTAAACTTCTCTCTGCACACAGACAATGGTGGTGTCAGTCCTTGTTTAAAATATACTCCTTACCTTGAGCACCTGCTCTAGGTTCTCCAGTTTGCCTTGGAGCTGGTTCCTCTCCCACACAGCTAAATCTCTCTCCTGCGTCACAGCACACAGTCTGTCTTTGAGCAGGGCATACTCACACTTCACCTGTGCAAAAGACATTATTAATCAGTTGTCAGTTATCCCTTTGTTAATACTTTATGTAGATTAATCAGTTACAGTGGCAGTGTGTGCACCTTCACTGTGTAGAGACAATAATAGTCAAGGCTGGACATGTGACAAAAAATATTATTTAATTTCCTCATATTGATCAATCATAATTTTTGATTCAGTGTTCAATATTCATTACATTACATAAACATAAACAGAGACAGATAGCACAATAACAAGAATTTCAAGTATATTTCAAGATAATCACTAACATTTAGAAATTACTGAATCCCGATCTTGATGTAAAATTTTCTATTAATTGCACAGGCCTAGAAATAATTATACAAGTATTACAAGAAGCAGTAATAGCAGTAGTTTCTTGAGTGTGTCCCTAATACCAATTAACTACAGTTCTAACTGAATTCTCTGTTATCTCTGATCAAAGAGGTTGTTTTGGTTGTTAGACAATAGCATCAAATATAATATTACATTTCAGAGGGGCACCAATTATCACCAACTGCCAAAGTGCAGTAATTTTCGAGTCTTTTTATCTAGTAAACAGGACATCTTGTTAAAACAACACAAAAAATCTACAACCAAACCAGTAGAAATATCCCTGCAGTGTTAATTAAATTCCTTGTTGTTTGTCTTAATGTATTATGTGCTACACAAATGTAATCCAGAATTGGAATAAATCCTCTTAAGCTATTTCATTCTTATACAATATAAATGGAAATGTCCTATTGACAAGATTTCAATAGAACAGTTGTTCCAATTTTTATGGCTTTCACAGTATTTTAGACACTACACTGGCAAAAAAGAAACAAAACAAACAAACAAAAAAATGTCTTTAATGCTATCCAACGCTTTCTGAGCTTTTGAGCTCGCCAAGAACTACTCCATGTCATATGTGGGAGCTGGCTGGTGGTTGCGGTGATAAAAGACTTAAAATATTTCAATAATGTAACTGTGACATAATTTACTTACTGCCTTGGTTGGGGACTATGCATTATTCATGGTTCATTGTTAACCAAGCTAAGCAATTGAATGAGGGAAATGCACATTATATTGACAATGTACTGTCATTCAACAATGAGGAGGTTTACAGTGTCACTCTGAATAGGATTTCAAAATGAGTGTGTTCCTAGAAGCTTTTGTCTTCACTGCCTCTTAAATTGTTTTAAAATTACTGAATACAAACTGCACTGCATGTCTACCAGTTTAAGTCATGATGTGTAAGCTTCCCAGTCAGTAGTTGTTTAAAAAATATGAATGGTATTTGGATTAATAATAAAAATGCTTGTAGTAGCTGTGTTTTACTTACTACTCTTTTACTATAAAGGACAGTTAAAAATTATAGCACAACTTTGAATGTGAATGAATGTGTTACATTTAACAGACTATGTATATCCACCAGATGCCATTGTAAATAGCATTTCAAAATATGTGCATCTGCAAGTCTCTCTCTACATTAAAAGGCAGGGTTATTCTGTCAGCTTTTCAAATGCCCTCAATCCACTGAAAGATAACTGGGTCCTGCAGCTGTAATATGGTCCCTTCCCCAGATCCAGCATCAGTGACTAATGAAGCTGAGAGAGGGCGTTTCCAACAAGCACATATACCAACACATGTATAAAACCAGCTATGTCAAATAGAGGCTGTGTCAGATTCAGTGCTCGCAGAAACCCACTGGATTGAACATAAGCAGGTCAATAGACTATTAGCCATGGAGGGCGGAGCTGTTTGCTGCACTTCATTCAGAAACGATAGGGATCAGGACAAGGGTGAGTGAGTAGGGGGCTCATATATTTACTGTGGAGAAGTGCTCATATCCACCAGTCAGATAACATGCATTATAGAAGCTTCTAGGAGACACCAAACCTGATACGACATCCATAACCAGCAACCTCTTTACTCAAATCTAGTCTCATGACAACAAGCTGCCAATGTGCCTCCTCTGGAAATTGACTGTAAAGGAAGAGGGCCTTGGTCCTTCTTTGCTGATCTATGTAAGCTTGTGTTATCAACTCATCTTGTTTTAACCCTGTAGGGCAAAAGTGAAACTGGAAAATTTAACGTATCAGAAGATTATCAATCTGGTCCCTGCCTTAGATAAGACCTTGAAATACATAGATGGGGATACATTGTGGCCATTCCAGCTTGTCAAAGCCTGATCTCGTCAGATCTCAGAAGCTAAGCAAGGCCAGGCCTGGGTAGTACTTGGATGGGAGACCACTGGAAATTCCAGGTGCCACAGAGGGGCACCTGGAACCTGTTGTGTCCTTAGGGAAGACACTTCACCTACATTGCCTAGTAAGAAAGTGGTGTGTGCATGAGTGTTGTTGGTAGTTGGAGGGGTAGATGGCACAGATTGGCAGCCTCACTTCCATCAATCTGTCCCAGGGCAGCTGTGGCTACTGTAGTAGCTTGCCACTACTGAGTGTAAAGTCAATGAACTGTAAAGTGCTTTGGGTGTCTTGAAAGGTGCTATATGATGATTATTTATATAATAAATTATTAATTAATTAGGACAACATGCATATTAGGTGGCCTTGTTATCTTATGGTCATCTATGTATGTAGCATATGTGAACCATATGCTACATACAATACAATGCATTTTTTATTAGAACAGCCATAAACGCACTTCCAGACATTTAATAAATACTGAGTGCAGACTGAGCAGATCTCAGAGGGCTACAGTTATAAAGACACTCTCGCTCAGTTCTTTAGACACTATTTAACCATAGCCAAATTCCACTTGCTCACTTTTTCTTGTTTGCAACACATCAGGACAAAATGTATGTGATGGTCAATGTTCCTGCCAGATAATATTATTGGAATACAAAATGTAACAGCTATAAGTGATGTGGTTTTGATAAAAAGTGTGTAAATGCACAACAGCTTTATTTATATGAGGTTACATTACAAAGATGGATATCATATAAGTTATAACTATTTTACCTCTCCTGTTGCTTAATAATGATGATTAGTAATGGTTATCAATGTTTATGCACACTGACAGCTGTAGTGAAACTATGTCTCTACTTACCCTCTCATATTCAGACGTCTTGTAGCTACTGTTGAACAACTGCAGATTCAAGTGCTTGTTTTCATGGAGAAAGTCCTGGAGCTCATTCTCCTAAAACAGCAGACAGAGTAGACAGAAAAAAAAGAGGTTGAAACAGAGAGCACTACACTCAGTGTGGTGTGTGTCAGCAATACCTCATATATTATTTAACCTGGAAGACTCTGATATGTTCTCAAAAGCTTGCCTAAAACATGCTGACAAAGCATACACAAACACTAGATGCATGCATTTGTCGAGAATAAAAAGGAACATTGCATTAGCTATAAAGTAAACCATAGCATACACACTCCTAGAGTCACTTCACCACTAATTCAATTTCAGTCACATCTAAGAAATATTGGCATTTCAACTGGTGTCAATTGTGGCGAGTCAATTTTAGTGCTTGCAAGGAAGCTCTTGATTGCATCGGCATGCCTGTTATTCATATCCATTGATTTCCTGGTTCACGGCCGATATGAGTTCACCTCCAGGTGGAAGGAGGACAGGTTTGAACTAAAATTGAAGTCGCATTTTCTGCCATATGACCACAAACATAAGGAATTAAACATTGAGGGCTAAAAGACAGCATAGTGTGTGTGGTGGTAGAGTGACAGAAGTAAGGACAGACCAGAGAGTCAGAGTAAGAATCACAGAGACTGTTTAGAAGCACTACTGAGGCCCATATTTGTTTAGTTCAGACATAGTCTGACTCAGCCCTGTGTGCCAGAGCACAGCGTTTAATTTCAACACGCCTGATGGATGATTCAACTCTGCCATTTAAAACACTGGCAAAGCAGTTCACCCACATACTTTCTGCTCACTGGACTCCTCTGCTTGTGTAGCCTTATTCAGCAGCGTGGCACAGACAGGTAGACAGTCACTACTGATCTAACGCCCCGCTGAATCTCAAGTCTGCCTCATAAAATACACTAACAAGAAGTCTTCTCATTGCAGATGTGTGTTTTTTATCCATTTAAAGTCTTTCCAATAGGCTATGCATACTGAGAAGTCTTCAGATTTAGTGCAAGCCATTTAAATTGCAGGCCTGGGGCTGTCATTCTGAGACATCGGCCTATTTGACTACCTACAATTAGAGTCACATCAACTCTAACAGATGGGTTGACTGTCTCTACTCTACCACCCATAATATATTTATTTTGAATTCAGTACAACATATTATAATAACAAAGTAATGTCAATGACAGCAGTTCAAGAAACAACAGGGCAGTTTGTAAACACACTTGAATCATTTGTCTGTGTTTTTGAAGAACTGAAACTCCAATAGCATCATTACACAGTAATGTTAAGGCATTTTGGCAGAGCTGAGATAGCCATGGTAACAGGCCTTACATGGCAGCTCTTGGCTCATGGTCTGGTTCGAGTTTAATACTGAAAAAGGTGGAAGTGGCAGATGGCAATGGTGGTGTTTACTGTCACTCTCAGACATCACTGTCACTCAGACGTGTGTTTACATACACAAGCTCACAGAGGAGACATGGCATTAAAGCTCAGTATCAGACTCAATTCCTTTAATCTATCAGGCTTTGGTACAGGAGCTTCACTCAGTATCTAACAGCTGTATTTACTGCTATCTGTGCAATCTTCACTTAAACCTGGGTAAGAAAGGACTAAAGTAACATGGAGGTGACTTTAAGGTTAGTGAGTTCAGAGCAAACCCGAGGTGACATTACTGTCAACTTGTGGCGCACTCACAATGGTGTTCACTGGTCTGTATTTGTGCATCTGATCTGCAAGTGCTCTGCAGGATGAGATAAGAGCAGCGCTGTGGTCTGTGGGGACCTGCCTGCCATTTCTGTGGATTTGAGGAGAGGTTGTCCTTTGGGCAGCTTCCTCTAGGCTTCTCTATCTGATACTGGGTAAGAGGGAGGATAGGAATGGGGCAGAAAAAGTAAGCCGCCAATGGCAAAGAAAGAGACCAAATGGAACTCAAACTGCTGAAGGATAGACCCAAAAGAATTCAAATGAAGGCAAACGGTGTCATTTAAATACTGAGGAATGTATTTAGAAATGTCTGCAAGAAAAATGGTTTCTCAAGGGTCAGGCCACCAATGCCTCATGTTCTTCACATCTACTCAGTGTCGAGTCCGACAGCACTTTTTATATGAACACAGACACCCAAGAAGTCAGGCTGACATTTCTGGTGCACTGGTGATAAAATGCTCCTTAAAGGCACTAGGGGAGAATCACTCTCAGCATTCTAAAATCACAGCATACTTACTCGTATGTTTAGGAGATTATGTATTGAGTTAAAGCATAGTAAACAATTTACCTTCATCCATGGCCACATTCTCACACACAGTACATTGCTCCCTGTAAAAAAAAACTCATTCCTAACTGTGCTCAATTTCTAGTTTCAATCAAAGTGCCAGAGACATGCTATCATTACTGCTCGTTTTCTCCGGGGGCGTCAATGTGTGGTGATAGGAAGCCAACCTCTCAGGTACAAATCAATTTTAGCCACATCCTTTCACTCAGAGGCCAGAGGTGTATTTCTGGAGCACTTACCAAAGTCTGACATGTTTGATTCTTTTTCTTCACCTCTGCTTCAAGTGCCTCACACTCCTTCTTTTTGGTGCTGATCTCAGTCTCCTGGGAACAGAGACAAAAGAATCTCTTATGGCAAGCGTTACATTTAAAAACAAGGTAAGACAGAGACATATTATTCAGAAAAAACAGAAAAAAACATACTGCAAGAGATGTTAGAATTTGTGACACACCAACAGCAATTACTTTATTTAGCATATATGTAGCAGTTTTCACTAGCCACACTGATCCTACACAAAATGACTAAACCTGTAGATAAACCTAGAACTAAACTAAACTGCACTACTAGAGCAGAACTAAATCTGAGCTAGAGAGGGACCAAATCAAGTTTACATCAGAATTAAATTGTGGTCAAACTAGGACCAAACCATGACATGTGTGACACGTGAGACATACAATGACAACAGTCCATTCAAACTTCTCACATTGATTCACTTTTCTATGACACTATACATGGACATATGAAAATTTCAAACCTTGTTGTAATTTCCTCATATTTTGCTGCAGACTCTTTTTATTAAAAAAATAAAATAACACCAGTGAAGTACTGACAGAGTGGTACATCATGGGGAGACCAAAAGACATGGGATATCCCACTAAAAGCTGCTTATGTTTGTTCTTTTTGACTAGGATGCTAATTTTAACACTTTGTGACAAGACTACATGCAGTACTGTGAACTTTGAAGTGCACTTCGGGGATGCTGTTGTAATGGATAGCCCACTATTGCACTCTTCTTGCAGCAGCGAGGATCTTAAGTGTTACATCACATAGCAGATTCTCAGTTCATCACCATCGTACAGGGAACATCCTCACTGTGGACTGGAGTGAGAGTGCAGCTGTTCTAAGATTAGCATAAAGAATTAAACAGGATTTTAACTGTGTCAGTGTGCTCTGTGCAGACACACACACATCTCACTCCCCCCACGTGTCTTGTGGTTCGGCTAAAAAAAGTCAATGTGGGACCACCTGAAGCTGACAATACATCATGCACCATGTGACAATGGCTGAATATGTCCAGTGCTTGCAGCTTGATGAAATCCATTCAAACAGAAAAACCTCTGTTCTGCCACATCTGCTGCTCCTGGCCCTCTGACAAGATTTTATAGCAAAGTGAGCAATGAGGTCAAGCCAGTGAAAGGAGACAGGTCAAGCTGTGACAAGAGGTGCTATAGAGGTGTGCAGTAAAGATATGTCTAAACATAATAATTTTTGTATTGTATATAAAGAAAAAGATGTAATCATGTATTTATTTGGAACTAGTTGAAAAACAAAAATAATAAATAATAATAAAAATAAATAATAAAGCCAAATGCTAAGTGTCTGATATTCTGTTCTCTGTCATTTTCCCTTGTGAGTAGGTATCTAAAGTGTAGCTTTGTGAGAAGCAGATGGCTGACACAGTACTAACATGTACAATAAATATTTCACACAGGCACACAGGCAAACACACTGCTTGCATTGTTGTGTTGGGCCATTTGTTTGAAACACATTTGCCAATGTTCAATTAAAAATCCGTCTGATAAAAGATTCAAATGGATGCCATTGTGAGTAATGAGCTTGAGTGTAAGTGAAGAGGCGTTTACTGCACAGCAGATGAAGACAAATGAGGGAGTCTAGTCCCTTAGGCTGGATCTGGGATACTTGCTTCTGTGGCACTAATGTAAATGCATGTACAGCACAGATGCTTTTGCTCATCAAGTCCTACTGCACAGATAAAGAAGACAGTAGTTGGTTTTCATCCTCTATTTAGAAACATCAAGCAGCAAAAGGAGCTAATGGAAAGTAATTTATCATATAGCCGAGAGGGACATCCAATTTACCTTTTTGTTTTCCTATGCATTACACTGTTACATTTTACTTATAAAACCGAAATGTCCCTGAGATAAAACACAGGGAGTCTACCCACAATATAAGTGTGAAAAAAGAGGCCGGATTGAGCCAAGCCTGCAGCTGTGAGTGTGGTTATGTGTTCAGCACCATGGAGAGTTCCCATTTCCACTGGGACAAAACAGCAGCAGCAGTGATACAGTACACAATGTGGGCAACTTCAGCACTTTTAACCAGTGCTGGCTTCCACATGAAAGCTCAATATACAGTGAGCTTGTAACAAAGTAAGGTCCTGAATTTTATACTGCTGCATTGTCTAATTAACTCAGAGGGCTTTCCCTGTCAGGTTCTTACTCCTCTGTCTTCTGATCTTTTGTAGTTGAGGGGAGCTCTATGCATAATCTCTTGCAAGCAGGAGTAACCTCATTACTGGTTTCTGCCCTGTAACTCCTTCAGTCTTTCATCCTCTGTGCTATTGAATATGCATGATGCCTAATGATGGGAAATAAACCCATCTATAGGTTTACTTAAAGTCCCAGAAGTATTATTACAGCTAGTACACTTCTATCCAATCTGTTATGCAATGTGATGTTTAAAAATGATGCCAACATTGGAAAAAGAGTATATGACCTAAACACAAAAAATCCTTATATTGGGGTTAGTATGAAACAAATGGAGGTGTAAAATCTACAAAATGTGGGTGAAACTGTAATAAAGAGTACACAGTGGCACCGTATATATTAAAATAATGGTGGTAGAATGTGATGGAGGGCAAGAGCCAATTTTCCCTGTTCATTACATGGTCATAACAAAACTCTCATAACAAATAATAATACACCAAAGGGAAATACCAAAAATATTGAACCTGATCACTTCTATTAGTGACTGGACCCAAGAACTCACTATAAGATAAGCAAGCTAGCAGTAGCCAACAGTTTTACAGTAAGTCACTCCCACTTTTTGTTGAAAATCAAACTCCTAAACAGGACCATGAACACTTGTATGGATCACAGGCTCCTGAGTAAACATTAATTATGTCTTGCACAGAAAATAATCAATATTATCCCACTTATGTGATGCTATCTTTGAATAAATCACTCTTTTTAAGAAGAAAAAGCTGAAAGTGTAATTAATAGCAACTCAACATTCAAGATGTGGAATTCACTAGAGCACTCTATACATGCACATAATGTGAGTGTAGACATAGTAATCAAGTGCAACACAGCGAGCCCCTGTAATTTCAAATGATCAGAAATGGCAGAGTCAGTTACATAACTGCTGTAGCTTAGTGTGTGGGCACAGATGCCAGTGGTCGACTTGTGTTTCAATACTGTGGTCTGAGCAAAGATGTGAAGGTTCTTGAAGACAAAGAGCATTATAGTTTGAGCAGCGCCCAAACACAGTAGGAATATGGAATCATAATAGGGGTGTGCAGGTGGGCAAATAATTTATATCATCATTTTCTAAAGCTTAGATCATATTTTGTTATTTGATTACAATTAATGTACATCCCAAGTACACCAAGTGAAGATGTAACAACAACTATCTTCTTCTTCTGAGAGTTCACACTTCACTGTGATTGGTTGAATCCACCTCACATGACATGACATGAGGCTGACCAAAAGAAGCCAGTGGGGAAAAGTGTTTGTTTTTGAGTATAGAGCTGCATAAAAGAAACACTGAATCAAACTGTGATCACTCAGTCTATTGACATATTTGATCAAAATATAATTTATTTACAATACTTACAATACTGCTAATTAGGAATAACTTCTTAAATGTGTCCAATTGCACTATAATAATAATAATAATAATAATGGATCCATTTTATATAGCGCTTTTCTGAACACTCTAAGACGCTTTACCACCCCAGCTCCCCTGGGGTAGATTGACAGAAGCAAGGCTGCCAATCTGCACCATCGGCCCCTCTGATCACCATCATTCATGCACAAAACACTTTCATACTAGGCGATGTGGGTGAAGTGCGTTGCCTAAAGACACAACGGCAGTTTTTGCCACTGGCGCTTCCACTGTGGCACCTAATTTTCCCAGACGTCTTCCAACTTTGACAAGCTGTTATAGCCACTAATAAACTGGATTTCTTTTTATGTTTTGGAACCCCAGAGCATTTTGCTGACTAAAGATCCAAAGGGAACACATGCTGATTACTATTACAACCCACACATCAGCCAACTCATCTCCCCTGCTAGTACTACTGTCCACACACCACAGACAGTCCACATGTAGCCTTGATCCCCTCCATTCAGTAGTAAACAGCTTATGACAAAAGAGAGCTCTCGTAAAAGCAAAGCACCTTGGCAGCGTTTATTGTGACTACTGCTCAGAGGAAACTTCAAAACATCAGCAACACACAATGGAAAAACACCTGGGATATGTGTGGGCAGTAAGTTATTTTCTTTAGGTGGACTATAAACCCACAGAATGACTCCCTCTACAACCCAAAGATAAAATGCCTTGTTGTGATTCATGTAATTCAGTGCTGTGCGAGTGAGGGTGCACAGAAAGAAGGGGAAAAAAGTAAAATCAAAAGAATCCACATCAGACTTGGCCATTACATATATCAAAACGTAGTAAAAACAATAAGCTCACTTCTAAATATGAGGAATTAGAGGAACATATAGAGGAGCATAGCATATTCCATACAACTGTACAACAACTCACAACAACCATTATGTGACAGAGAACCCTATGTCTCGTCAATCATATCATCTTTTCCTTACGACCTCTTGTATACAGCTGAGATATTTTATTACGTAGTTCTATTTTATTTTATTTTATTTTTACTTGTACATATGCATTTATATAATTATGCCTTATTTGACATGAGTCTCTTGTTATTTTTGCTACTTATTTTAAATTTATTATTACCATTTATATTTTTTCTCTTTGTTATTTTCATATATTGTGATGTGTGAGCTACTGTGTAGTTTCCCTTGTGGGTCAATAAAGTTTGTCCAAGTCTAAGTCTAAGTCTATATTAAAGGTACACTTAATGCTATCAGCTCAAGTAACAGGTCAGGACTGTGGTTAGGTGATCTAGTTCACCGTAAGAATGAGCTAGTTCACGGTAAAAATAAGCATCTCACAAAGTATTTAGGAGCAATAAAAAGACCTGTAATTTAATGCCATAATGTGGAACATTACAAGCAATAACATCTCCAAGTAGGTCATGGATCCCCTTCAAGTCATGTGCATC